TTTTCCAGTCATATACCAGACAGATATATCAGACAATGTTTCACTGTTATTCGTAAGGTTTTCACTGGCCAATTCTTTGAGAAGTGAATGGCCTTTTCCTTCTTCCAAGTCTGTCTAAGCCTAGAAGCTCTGCTGAAACCTCTCCACCATGTGGATGTGGATGTGGATGGCCCCCTCCTTCTTCTGAGTCTGTCTTAGTCTGGAAATTCTGCTGAAACCTGTCCACCATGGGTGACCCTGCTGGTATGTGAAATAACAGTGCCATAGCCTCCAGCCTCGCAGCAACACGCAAGCCACCACAGTACAATGAACTGACAGATGAGTGGTAGCCACCCCTGGTAACCACTAATAAACGTTGGTTCCTATGCATTTTCCTATTCTAGACATTTCATAGAAGTGAGTGTGGCTTCTTTCACTCAGCATAATGTTTTCAGGGTTCATCCGTGTTGTATCATGTATGAGAACCTCATTTCTCTTTATGGCTGAACAATATTTTATTATATGCTTGTACCACATTTTGTTTATCCATCTGTTGATGGATGCTTGCATTGCTTCCACCTTTTGTCTATTGTGAATACTGCTGCAATGAACATTGGTGTAAATGTTCCTGTTTGAGTCTCTGCTTTCAATTCTTTAGGGTATATACATACCTAGGAGTGGAATTGCTGGGTCATTGCATGTTTAATTTTATTAAAAACTACCAAACTGATTTCCAAGTGACTGTAGCATTTTACTTCTCCAGCAGCAATGTATGAGTGTGATCCAGTTTCTTCACATCCTTGCTAGCATTTGCTGTTGTCACTATTTTTTTTTTTTTTTTTAATCTTAGCTGTTCTGGTAGGTACATGGTAAGAGCTCATGGTAGTTTTCATCTCCATCTTCCTGATGGCTACTGATGTTGACCTTACTTTCATGTGCTTATTTGCTATCTGTATAAACTTGTCAGTGAAATGTCTCTTTGTATTTTTTGCCCTCTTCTTTTGACATTGTTTTCTTACTATTGAGTTTGGGGCATTCTTTATATATGCTAGATACTAGTCCTTTGCCCAGATATGAGCCTTCAAATATTTTCTCCCAGACTACATCCTGTCTTTTCATCCTCTTCACAGGGTCTTTTATAGAGCAATCGTTTTTCATTTTCATGAGGTTTATTTAGTTCCTCTGTTTTTCCTCTTAGGTATTGTGCTTTTGATGTCAGGTCTAAGAACCTTTGCCTAGCTCTACAGCCCAAAGATTTCATCTATGTTGGTTTTTTTTTTTTCCCCTAAAAGTTCTATAGTTTTATGTTTAACTGTAGAATTTATTTTGAGTTCATTTTTGTGTAAGATGTGGGTTTGAATCAAGATTCATTTTGCAGCCTCCAGATATTCAGTTGCTCCAGAACCATTTGCTGAAAAAGATGCCATTCCTCCATTAATTGCTTTTGCACCTGGGTTCTCCATTCTGTTCCATTGATCTGTGTGTCTATGCCTGTGCCATACCACACAATCGTAATTACTGTAGTTATGTAACATGTCTTGAAAGCAGGTAGAATAATTCCCTGCACTTTATTCTTTGAAAAATTGTTTTAGTTTTTCTATTTCCTTTGGATTTCTGTGTAAATTTTAGAACAATCATGTTCATAATTGTAAAAATGTCTTGATGTAATTTTGATAGGAATTATATTAAACCTGTACATCAATTTGGAGAGAATTGACATCTTTACTCTGTTGAGTCTTCTAATCCAAGAACACTTCCAACTGATGAATCCTGTACATGTTTTGTGTGATTTATACCTGTTTCTTTTTCTCGAGTCATTGTAAATGTATTTTTTTTTTTTATTCTGATGTCTGCATGTTCTTTTTGGTTGAATTTTGTTGTTCTCGGCATTACTTATTATAAACATAACTTATCACAGTCTACTGATGTCAACATTTTACCAATTCAAGTAAGTGTAGAAATCTTGCTTCTCTTAATATCCCTTTACCTTCTCTTGTTTATAATGCAATTATATTAATTAATTCTTCCACATACGTCTAGAACCACATCAGACAGTGTCAGAGTTGTTGCTTCACTCATCAAATATAATTTCGAAAACTCAAGAGGAAAAGAGTCTATTCATATTTTTTGCTCTTTCCATTGTTCTTGCTGATGTCCAAGATTCCTTCTTCTATCATTTCCTTTCTGTTTAGAGAACTTCCTTCTGCCATTCTCTTAGGAGAGATCTGTTATTGGCAAATTCTCTTAATTTCCTTTCATCTGAGAATGTCTTGATTTTCCCTTTCATTCCTGGGTATCAGATTCAGACCTGATCGATTCTGGATTCTGAGTTTTCTTTTAGCTCTTGAAAATTGTTGTGTCACTTCCTTCTGACCTCCATAGTCTCTGATCAGAAATCTGCTGCCATTAGAATTGCTTTACACACACACACGCACACACACACACGCACACACACACACACACACACACACTATAGGTTAAGTGTCATTTTTCTCTCTGTTTCAAGACATTTTCTTCACTTTTCCGAAGCTTGATAGTGATGGGTCTTGGGGAGGATTTTCTCAGGTTTATCCTGTTTGAGGTTCACTCATCTTCTTGAAATTGTAGGTTTTATGTCATTAGCCAAATTCGGGAAGTTTCCAGCCATTATTCCTTTGAACAGTTTTTCAATCCCACCCTCTCTCTGCTCTCCAAGGAGTCTGATAACATAAATGCTAAATCCTTTGTTTTAATCCCACATGTCCCTGAAGTACTATTTTTTCCCCAAAAAGTCTGTTTTCTCTGTTGTTCAGATTAGGTGATTTCTGTTCTGTCTTTAACGTCACTAATTTTTTCCTCTGTCCACTCCTTTTTCCTCTTAATTCCGTTTTATTATCAGTTATTACATTTTTCGTTTCTAAAATTTCCATTTCTTTACATCTTTTATTTCTTTGCTGATATTTTCTCTATATTTTTCATTTGTTGCAAGCATGTTTGTAATTGCTAGCTGAAGCGTTTTATGACTACTATTTAAAAATCCTTGTCAGATAAGTTTAACATCTGTGTCATTGCAATGTTGGCATCTGTTCATTGTCTTTTTCATTCAGTTTAATATCTTTCTGGTTCTTGGTATGATGAGTGATTTTTTTTTTAATCGAAACTTTAACGTTTTAGTTATTATATTGTAAGACTGGGTCTTATTTAAATCTTCTGTTTTAGCGGATCCTCTGACACCGCTCCAGCAGGGAAGGGGGGCACCACCTCATTTCTACCAGGTGGGTATAGAAGTTCAAGTTCTCTCCACTTAGCCTTCATTGACACCAGGGAGGGTGGGCTCCTTACTATTGCTGGGTGGGAGTGAGAGTTCCAGCTCCCCACTAGGCCTCTGTTGACACCACCCTGATGGGGAGGAGTTGTTGTTGTGTGCCATCGAGTCGTCCCTGACTCCTAACGACCCCTCCTTAGGTTTCCGAGGCAGTATCACTTCAGGAGTAGGATTGCCCAACCTTCCTTCCAAGGAGTAGCTGGTGGGTTTGAACCACCAGCCTTCTGGTTAGCAGTCAAGTGCCTTAGACACTATGCTACCAGAGCTCCTATGGGGAGGAGTAGGAGTGCCTTATTACTGCTCCCCATGTAGCCTCCCTTGACATGGCTGGAGGAGGGGTTGATTTGTTACTGCTGAGATAACGGAGAAAGTCCTTGCTCTACATGGGGCACCATCTGATACAGACCCAGTGGAGAGAGGGAGGGGTGCCTCATTACCGTCAGGTGAGGTTGGAGTCTAGGCCCACCACTCAGCCTTTGCTGATGGAATGGGATGGGACTGTAGTTTTCCTGCAATATTTGGCTGGAGTAGAATGGCTAGTGTCTAAACGTTTTTGTCTTGCTAGGCTGCCCCTTTCCTGGTCCTTTGGCTAGAGGGGACAGCTTTAGTTAGGGCCTTTTTGTCTGTGCCCATGGCCATATATGGATTGCTGGCTTTTTCAGCTCCAAGGCTATGATAGATGAGGCCAAAAGGAAACCCAGAACAACTCAAACGTTGTTCCTCGGGTCTTGAGGTTCCTAGCTGATCTGCAGTCCTCTTTCCACCTTTTGGGGACTTGTTATGTTTGTTTTATATAAAATATCCAGAGATCTTGTATTCAGCAAAAAGAGTGGGGAAAACAATTCTTATCCACCTTTCCAGAAGCAGAAGTCTGGACATAGAGATTATACAGCCTGATTCTGTACTAACAAGCAAGTTTCTGAACATCTTGACAGAGCTCTTATTTCAAGTCCAGATCATATAAACCAGAAAGAAAAGACAGCTTTACCTGGGTTTGCTCATGTCTGCTCATCCACTGTAGAGGGTGTGTACCATGGTAGCTATGGTCAGTCAGTTTCCCATACACCAGTTAGCTGGCACTCCATGAGCCTCTTCCAACATGCATTGCTTTTTTCCAGTGTCTGTCAGACTTTGAACTTTTGATCACCTTGCTTAGCCGAGGGCTAACAGGGTCAGAGTTGGGTGCTGTCCCTTCTATGGGCCATAAGGCTCACTCTAGTAGAGTGGAAAGGATCCTAAGATATCACTTGATCCAGCCATCATGGTTTCCAGATTAGGAAACTATGGCTCAGAGAGCAGAAGAGCCTCCCCCTGGGTCTTCTGTGTGCCACTCAAAAGTGAAGCTGGACCTAGGACCCACACTCCCTATCTTAGGTCCACTGATCTTGTAGTTATACCAGGCTGCTCCTCCACCCACCCCTCAGCTCTCCAGTGAGCTTAGCCCTGGTGATGGCCAGGGACTGCCCCCTCATCCCAACCCCTCATCTTTGGGTGTGGAGGGGGAACAGTGAGGGTGGTGGGGTGGGGAGAGAGACAAGAGAAGGAATGTGGCTGCCTCCGTGCAAACCTATCCTCAGAGTGAAAGTCTGTGATTCATGGGGTCAATGGTCTCATCTTCGTATCTGAAAGACAGTGTGCTTTTTGTCTCCCTAAGCCCTGTGTCTAGGTCGTTTGGGAAGCACCTTGGAGAGTCAAGAATAAAATTGCAGGTCACACAATGGATGAATGGAAAAGTCGGCTTGTAATCAAGAGCACTCTTCCCCATTACGCCATGGTGGGAAATCGTCAGGAGCCCAGAAAGCTCCAGGAATCGGTCAGACAATGGGCTATGGGGGGTGGGGGGAGTGTTGAATGCTTCTAATCTTAAACTTGAACATAAGATGTGTTATTGAAATTCTCTGTGTAGACACAGTGGCAGGGAATCAACCCCAAATTTAAAGAATGCAAGTCTGACCTAGAAAAGACCTAGGAGATGAGCCGACCAGCCCCTTGTGAGACCCAGGGAGAGCTGGAAATATAGTCCAAGGCTCCATCTGGATTTCCAGTCCAATGATCTGTGTACCACAGCCCTTCAGCAACACAGGAATGGCAAGGGGGAAGAAGATCATACTTTTTCTCTTAATAGAAACCAGTAGTGGCTAAATGGCAGGCACTCAATGTGTTGCACTGGCGTCCTAGTAGGACTGAGTACAGGGAATCAGGAGTAGGGCACAGCAGTGGATTCCCATTTAACATTCTGATCCCAGTATCCTTTTTAAAACTCCTCTGACATATTTCTATTCTATTTTCCTCCATGGGAACCAAGATACCACCCATCCTAGGTCCTGGAACTCGAGTTAGGGATTCCAGTGTTAGTTATAAGGAGTCAGGATGATGCTAGAAGGGGCCATGAGAGCCATTGGTGGGTGGAATTTGATATTGGAAGCCTGCGACCTCACCAGTCTACCAAGACTTGATTAGCAAGAGTTGTAGCAAACACAATGGCTGTTATCTTGGTGTATTAGGCCCTCAGAGGAGTGGCTTGCTAATCTCTGAAATTAATAAAACAGAGAGGAAATGGCTCTTATAGAGCCATGGGTCTGCTTCCTTCCTGTTCATAGAACTGGGAGCCTGGGGCTCTGAGGTAATGTCACTTCACATAATTAGAGGGCCTGTCTTCTCCAATTCCAAAGGCAGCTTTCTGTTTCTTTTAGGATTCTGATATGTGCATGGGTCTGGGAGGAGATTATTGAAATCTTGCTTCTCTTTTGTCCCCCCTCATTGTCAACCACCAAAAATTGATTGAGAATGTGGTATGAAGTTGAGCTGGTAGAGGTTTACAAACTTTGTTTACAGGAGTCCCAGCTGTCATGGGATGGGATGGCCGAGATGGAGTGATGACTTGGCCAAGAACCTTGTCCTCCAAATTGCCAGCCCTTCAGTCAGGCATCTTCTGGATGGGAACCTCTAACCTGCATCCTAATTACCCCTCCTTTTTTTTTTTTCCCTTGGCTCTCTTTTATGGTCAACCATTGAGGCAGTAAAGGGAAACCTCTTGGTTATGCCCCCAGAGTCTGTTATCAGTTTAGCCATGGCTTTGAATGTTTCCATTGTTTCTCACCCTTTCCATCTGCCTGGATCCATAGTCTGAGGGCCGATCAATCAGTTGTCATTAAGTCAACTCTGACTCGTGGTGACCCCACGTGGCTCAGTAGGGTTTTCATGGATGTGACCTTTTGCAAGTAGATAGTCAGGCCTTTCTTCCAGGGTGCCTCTGGGTGGGTTCAGACCTTCAATATTTTGGTTAGCAGGCAAGCACATTAACCTGGGAGCAAAGGGGGTAGATTGTACTTTCAGGGGTCCTGTTCCCCTTATTTTCACCCACCTTACCAACTCTCTTCCAAAGTATGACTGCTAAGTAACTTCTTTGTTTTGGATCAGTATAGACCTTGGAGCATGCATTTCAGGGAGGATTGTCCTTAGAGGTGGGTATTGGGGTGGCCATCCATGCCCTTACTCTGGAGAAGTTGTCATTCATTGCTCACACATTTTGGGCCTGGACTTCTCTTTGGAAATAGCCATTAGAACCCTTTGTGCACCTCACCAAAGCTTCACATTCATTGCTTTAGTCACATCTTGGATGTGATGAACGTCGGCCCTTCTAGCTCCTCTGTGGCACACCTCGTTCTCCCCTCTTGGCTCTGAATGGCCTATGTCTGAAACTCCAGACTGTCCTAGAAGACGTGGGTTGGCTTCAGCTGATGGTGGCCAACAAACATGCTTCAGGCTCTGCAAGGAGCTCCCTCAGAGGAGTTCCCTTCATGGTTTAAACCACATCTGTCTTCTTCATCCCAGAAGGGCGTGACATTGAGGGAGCCCAGTCCTTGGCTGTGCCTGAAGGGTGTGCAAAGAGCTGGGCTGAGCCGGGTGCTGTTGCTGCATTGGCGGACAGCCATGGCAGCTCTTGGCTGGAGTGAGGCTGAGTGTGAACGGCAGGCCAATGCCTACATCCTCAAGAGGACAGAGAGGCTAATGGCGGCTCTTGCTGCACACTCTGGGGAGCTCAGTGGCCTGGATGCTTTGGGCTGAGGGGCAGAGATTGGCAGATTTAAAGTAGAATGGCCTGTCAGCTCACCAAGAAACCCGCTGTCCACACAAGCTACTGCAGGATGGGGGGCAAGCAGCAGGAGGAGGGTGTCGGAAGGATCCTTGCTTGCACTGCCAGGCTGGATGTGGCCTTCCCTGGCTCCAAGGAACATCTCGGGGTGAGAGCCTGCTCCCCAGTCCCAGGGAACCATGTGGGCCCAGTTCTGGCCCCACTCTCCCTCACCCTGAGAGCATCCCTAATGGAGACATCTGCTGTAGGCATCCAGCTCAGCTCTTCTCTTGTCCTTACCCCCAGAAGAAACTATCAAAAGAAACTATGTCTTGTGTCGAGGTCTTGAAATAAAGATCTATCAGGCCCTGAGGAGATTTCTCTTTAAGCAGCCTTTTCCGTGTGGACAGTGTGCATCTGGTATGATGCTTGTTCTTGCCTAAGACTGGGACACCTGGGTTTTTGTCTTGCTTCTGCTTCTAACTAGCTAAGGGCCTTTTCCATCCTTTGCCCTTCCTGAAGACAACTCCAGTCCCACACACATCTTTAGATTGTTGTTACAAAGGGCAAATGGGCCAGGGATAAGAATAGCCACCTTGAGTTGAGCGTTTACTAGGTGCCAGACATTTTGCTAAGCATTTAGGGGACATTATCCAGTAATACTCACAATAACTCAGAAAGGAAAAGACTAGTGTTATCTCCAGGAAACTGAAGCTCAGGCAGGTTAAGCAGCTTGAGCAAAGCCATGGAGCCGGGAAATGGCAGAGCTCTGGGCCTGCTGCACTGTGCTGTGCTGCCTCTGAGGTCTAAAGCATGTTAGGCAACCACAGAGCGCTGACCACAAATCAAGCAGGAGGCGTCATCGTGAGAAATCTCAGCGATGCACTTCTTCATTCCTTTAGTGGCATGATTGTTTAGTGACCCTCGTGAGCTGGGGCAAGGGGCACTTTGCCTTTCAAGCACTGGGCACCTACCTGTCTTGACAGATGCTGATGGAGTGCTCACAGGAGACAGTACCATTGGGCCCTCTCTTTGAGGTTGGCATCTAGACTCTTCCCACAGATCGGTGGTCGATTGATTACTACTATGAGAATCCCAAAGGCATTAACACTCCAGATTGGAAATGTTCTGGAGCCTGCGGGGACGGGGGAGTGATGACTCAGTGTGCGTGTTGCATGTTGTCTCTGTCTCAGTCTACCTGCCCCCCACCCCCAGCACATGGGTGACTCTTCCTCTCTGCCCTCGTTGCAGGGATCCAGCTCAGTAGACATACGTGGAGATCACTGGGGAAATGAAAGGAAGTCTTCGTTTTAGATATGAGGAAGAGAAATAAACGACTCAACTACCATCCATGCCATATATAAGGCAGCTCCTAGACAAAATCGGGATACTGTGGGCACTAAATGTACAGGTGGAGAAGGAAGGGCCCACTGTGCTTTTGACTCAGCAGTGGTGTTCAGCCATTTACTGATAAATAACTCAGGAGGTCACAAGGAGTGATTCTGCCCAGCAGTCCATCTGAGTTTCCCATCTAGTCTGTGGTCATGGAAGTATAATTAGCGTTCTCCTCACAGATAAAGGCAATAAGTTCTGAGAGATGCAGAGGCTTGCAGAAGGACACCCATTAAGAAGGTGAGGTACCACATCAGGAGTCCCCATTTGGGTGATCTCTAGTACAGTGTGCCTTCTACCTAGGGAATGACCCAAATCAACCCCACCCCTTCTTCTGTTTCTCCCCTCTAAATGCTGGAGGCAAGTGGGGCTAGGAAAGGGGAGAGAGGAGCCCTTACTATAACAGGGGAGGTGGAGATGTGAGTGACTACAGAAACACTGACCCCATTCCATCTGCTCCTCTTTATTAGACTGAGAAATGTCAGTAATACCCAGTAGGAGAAGGTCTGCTCACCTGCTCCCGTGGTGGATGATCATGTTCAAGATTTGTACCCATCATTCTCGGAGGCACGCACTTTTCCACGTAAAAAATAGGACTAGACCATGAGTAAAGACACTTTGGAGACCATAGGCAAGTCCTTTTCCTCTGGAGGTGAGAGGGCATAGGTGTGATCTCCAAGGACCTGTCTATATCTGTGGCTTTCCACCACATTGACAGGGCCCTCCTCTGTGCCGAGCCCTGTGCTAGACCCTGGGCTGCAGGGATAAAGCGAGCCACGACTGGCCCTGAGGAAGCTCACAAGTCTAGGAACAGAGTATTCCCAGGCTGCTTCTATTGAGCAAATCCATCTTACTCTGGGTTCTTCATGCACCTGGGAAGAAAGATGGTGGCACATCTCCCATGTATATATACATTACTTCATTTTCTCCTCTGATGCAGTGATTCATATTTCCATTTTACCAAAGAGCACCATTGGGGCTCAGAGAGGCTAGGAACTTTCCCAAGGTCACACTGTCAACAGGTTGTGAATTTAGAACTCAAACCCAGGTGTCTGGACAAAGCTCATCTACTTTGCTGCTTCCCATCTTCCGATTAGGAGCTTAGCTATTTATTTGCAGGGCCTTCTGGCACAATGCCTAAGGCATTTGACTGCTAACCAGAAGGCTGGCGGCTCAAACCCACCAGCCACTCCTCAGAAGGAAGACTGGGCAATCTATTTGCATAGTGATACTGCCTCAGAAACGCAAGGAGGGGTCACTATGAGTCAGATCCAACTTGAAGGCAGTGAATTTGGTTTGGTTTTTCCTGCAGTCTGGACACTGCTGTGGGTGCTCGAGCTAGAGCC